AAAGCTTAACACATGCCTTGTGCTCGGTCATTAGGGGGCATGACCCCGAGGAGTGTAAGACTCCATCCTTTGAGCAACGCCCTCAAAAGCTTAACACGAGCCTTACGCTTGGTCGTTAGGGGTACGGTCCCAAGGGGTGTAAGACTCCACCCTTTGAGCAACGCTCTCAAAAGCTTAACACGAGTCTAGCACTTAATCATTAGGGGTACGCCCCCGAGGGGTGTAAGACTCCACCCTTAGAGCAACGCCCTCAAAAGCTTAACACGAGCCTCACACTTAGTCGTTAAGGGAATGGCCCCAAGGGGTGTAAGACTCCATCCTTGAAGCAATGCCCTTAAAAGCTTAACACAAGCCTTGCGCTCGGAAGTTGGGGGCATGGCCGCGAGGGGTGTAAGACTCCACCCCTGGTGCAGCGCCCTCAAAAGCTTAATAAGCCTTGTGCTCAGTCGTTAGGGGCACGACACTAAGGGGTACAAGACCCAAATACTTGTGCATTTTCATGATTTTATGAGCTTGGAAGCCAAGGGGCAATTTCGTAGAATAAAGTACAGTAAACATACAAATAGGAAAGATAGATCATCATGAGAGAAAATTTCATTAGACAAAAAGAAAGGGGTTTTGCGTCCCCCGAGCATACAAACAAAAAGCAAACAGAGAGTACAAAAGGGGGGAACTCTAAGCTCCAACACCGCCTTCAGGGTTAGCCTGTCCATCGTCGCTAACCTCACCACCGTAGAGCATACCACGCTGCCTCAGAGTATCTTCCCCAACTCCAAGTATATCATCAAGTTCAGTATCTGGCTTGCAGAGAAGAATGACGATGGAGCGGGTAAGAGGATCATTGCCTTCACCTAGGGGGTAGGGGAAGGAAGCCTAGGAAGATCACCATTATCACCATCATTAAGTGTGATCAATTTATTTTGACCTTCAGCCCCCTCGTCCCTACGACTGATCCTTCAGAGCCTAGCTCAGATTGAGGCTGTTCCTCGGGATCGACCCCTACTTCAGGTTTTACAAGGTAGCTATGCATCGTGAACAGATTTGAGCCAGCCTCGACCCTGACGGAATGCAAGGCAACATCCCAACCTCGCTTGAAGGCCTTTTGCTTGGCTTCTTCGAAGGCCAAGACCATTTTGTCTTAACAGTCAAGCCATACCTTCTTGCACTCCCGCCAGGTCCTCTCCTGTACTTCTGCCTTCTCGGCCTCCAATGCGTCAACTTTGGCTATCATCTCGTTAATAATGAACTTAGCTTCTTGCAATTTGACGTCGGTGGTAGAAACTCAAAGCTCAAACTCCTCTATCCTCTTGTTGGCCTTGGTCTCAACTGCCTTCATCTTTTCAAGTTCAATAGCGAAGGCGTTGGCCTTGTGGATTAGGTCGATGATGTGTTTTGATTTATCAACGATTGTCCTCTCCACCCCCTTAATGTGCTCGTCTTTGCGAGCAAGTGCATTCTCGACGTTTTTAGCTTCTAGCTTATACTACCAAAGACAGTTAATGATGACCCCCATCTGTTGGCAGGCCTGAAAGCAAAACACCTAAGTCAGAAATGGCCAGATAAGCAAAAACAAAGAGAAGTTAGAATGATCGGCGCACTTACCAGCATATTGTTGTGGACAACACTTTGCAGGAGTCTGTTGTCCTCATAATCTTGATAAAACGGCCATGTCAGCCTCAAACTGAAAACTCATAGCAACGGTGAAGGCGACGTTAGGAGATTGAATAATATTAGGCACCCCCTCCTTGTTTGTACTCGGGGGGCCCACTCAAAAGATGATGCTTTCAACGCCAAGGTGTCATGGTGCTCCTCACATGCCTCGGGCTCTCGACATCAACGATCCCTTGGCTGATCTTCTGATGGGGTCACTTGGCACCTTGACGAAAGATTCCTCGGCGAAATGACGGGGTCCCAGAAATACTGAGGGCGTGGCAATGAAGGGGGAGGTTGTGGGCATGGTGAAGGCAGAGGTGGGGCAATCGGTGCAGTGTCAGAAGTCCCACTGGCTCCTGAGAACCTTGCCTTTCTCGCTATCATAGCGGCCTCCATGGTCACAACAGTGATGAGAGGAGGGTTGATCATGTCATCAGGGGAAGGAGTGCGCTCGACATCTCGATCTGGATCAGCCTCAAGGTTTTCCTCCTCCTCCTTTGAGGAAGAACGATCCTCCCAAGCTAAAGGGTCAAATGGAGGGGGGATCTGTGAAAATCTTGTATAAGTTGGGTGATAGCCAAGCAGTACGTGTGATGCTCAGGCGAAGGGATCCATTGGGTCGTAAGACCAGAATTTCACTAAGTCCTCAAAGCGAACTTGGGACTTGAGAGGTTGGGCAGCAGCGACCTTGTACCCTTCTACAAAAAGAGGCCAGAAATGAAGGACCTAAACATTAATAGAATGCCGAGCATATTGAAAGTTTGCACAATACACACCTAGATCCCTCGACACTTTGGAGCTGTATAATCCATCATACTCGAGCCCATTTTCTTTCTCCCAATTGTCACTGAGCATGATTAGATCCTGGGCATACCCCTTGTCCGAGTCTGACATATGGGTCACCAAATACAAACAAGGGTCCCGAGCCTAAAGGTAGTACCTGCCATCAGCAACTAACTTTAAGTCGTAGTAAAATAGGATTTCATCTACCCCCAGGTTTACCCCCGAGCTGAGCATTTAGGGAGACCACACCCATGACCACCCTATAGAAGTTAATGCCACACTAAAGGAGGAAAAGACTAAGATGCATCAACATTTTTAGCAAGAAGGGGTGGAGAGGGAATGTCATCCTCTTCCATGATGGCTTTGGTATAGAAGGGCATTATATCTACACTTCTTTATATCATTCCTATGGAAGCGAGAGTCAAAGGGGAAGGCCAAGACAGGGTCTGCAATATGGTATTTTTCCTTTAAAACCTAAATGTTGGAGCCTTTTACCTTGGTCTTCCTCAACCTATGGTGTCTCTAGCCATAGCAGGTTCCCTAACTACTATTCTACGTATCCTGGCCATGGATGAGTGTTTTGGAAAGAATGTAGAAGGAGGATAAACAGGTGAAGAAAAATGGGGGAAATGGAGGTACTTATAGAGAAGATCTTCAGAAAAAGAGCTTAGGAGATCAGAGGGGAGTGCTCGAGAGTTGATTGCTAAGAGAGAAGTTCGAAGATCCAAAGTTTGGAAATGGCCAAACGATCTCCTATTTATACCCAACAGAGGGAGCAGGAATCGAAAAGGAATGTCATCATTTGGAAATTTGAAAAGGGTGACGCTAGACGTGCAAGTAACCGCCCCTACTAATTAGGCATGTTCGGCAAGCCACCACTCTCCTTGCGCCACCTATCCCATGCCGCAAAGAAAATGGAGGCTGGGGGGCAGTTGATAGGACTTTAGGCAGCTCAGCAGCCCTTAGATTGACACGTGTAAAGATATAGCAGTTATAGAATTCAAAAGGTGCCAAGGAGTAATGGCTCGAAGGAGCCGAGTACACGTACTGACACTAGCATTTTAGAAGACACGATAGCTCATTAATGGGATGTGAGTGACTAACACAAGGCTATTAATGAGTCCCTGCATCCTCGAGACCCAAAACGACAGTCATGATTGCGAAGCATTAATGACAATCGCGCTGAGTATGTTCCCACGACACAGACCGAAATACTATTCTCCGAGCATTGAATGCTCAGGAATAGGTGTTAGGCACCGATCAGAGGGACTTGATTGCCCGGAGGGTAGCCATAAGTGCTTGGCATTGCCCCGATCACTTGTCTTATCACCCGATCATTAAAGGCATGAGGATCTGAGCAAAGAACATTTATTATGCATGGGGTAAGGATGCAAAATGTCGAGATGGGACTACCTATCCTTGCACTCATTGCTGATTCAGGTATTAATACTCCCTAGAAAAGTGAACCAAGGTATGCAAGACTAAACTGAAAGAGAAATACACTGTGCTAACGCCTCCAAACTTATATTGAATTAAGTTTTGGAAGGGATAAACTGGGTGTTCACCGGGCCCCTTTTCTAACCTTGTGGTTGTTTCAGGTTCATCATTGAGAGGATCACTTTATCAATCTATTTACAGAAAATCTCTCGTGCATTTTCGATGTTGTTGGTTTTAATTCAACCCATCCAATCCTATTCGAACATAAGTTCAACTAAACAAACAAAAATGAAACCCCCTAAAAATATTTGCAAAAATATTAACTTATTATGGCATTCAGTCCATTCGTTTAAACCCTCAAATAGGTGATTCTGTGCTTAATCATGACATGCAGACCTAGCTTAAACAAAAATACTAACTAAATACTCACCTTCACTAGGATTGAAAACCTTTAGCAAATTTGGTTCTTCAATGTGTACAAATTAATCGTCTCTTGAGTGTTTTTTGGATGGGGATAACAAAGGCAATAGAAACAAGGCGGGTGAGAGAGAGATGAGTGTTTCCTTTGATGAGCAACATATGATAGACAAACAAACTAGGAAGTAGTCAAAGAGTCAAAGGGGGCATTTTAGTAAATGAACATAATCTAAGAATATCTTGGGGGCAATTTTATCTTTTCGCCTTTTCTTTAGTTCCATTAGTAATACCTCATTGATAAGGGATTCGGGTGTAATTTCGTAAACTTGAGAGAATTTGTTTGATCAATTGACAAACATCAGGGGTTTGTGTGTTTTGTTAGACTAGTCAAACCCTAATAATTTTGAGCCTAGTCAGAGTCCAAGGGGCATTTTAGTAAATGAACATAAATATGAAAATATCTTGGGACAGTTTTGTCTTTTTGCCTTTTCTGTTAGCTCCGTTAGTAATACGTCATTGATAAGGACTTCGTGTGTAATTTCGTAGAGTTGAGGGAGTTTGTCGTATTAAACGACAAATCTTAATGGTTTGTGTGTTTTGTTGGACAAGTCAAGCCCTAATAATTTCGGGCCAGTCCAGGTGTGCCGCCAGACCTTGACCTTGGCCTTGGCCACCCAATATATAACGTTATATTCAGCTTCAAAAACCACGAAGATATAGGTAGGAGCGGATAACGTTTTTCAAGGTTCGTGACTGTGCGTTTGGGTTTTGTGATTCGCATTTCGAATGACAAAGACGAAGAAAGAACTGTTAGCATCCGCGCCGTGGAGGGGCGTTGATAGTCAGGCGGAGAAATTCAAAGACGCCAAGCTCAAAGTGACGAACCAGCCAGGTGCTACCCCAACCATGCATATCCCTCGCAAGAGCTCCGTCTCTTCCAACGGAGATGACGATGATTCTCTGACCAAAATTGACCAGGAACTCCGCTACAGCTTCCAGCGTAATGTCCAGGTAACCTCTGTCTCTCTGTCTCTCTCTCTCACACACACACACACAGACATACACATACCTGTACTGCAGTAGCCTGAAAGTACCATAAATATTGTGACCCAATTGATTATAAACATTAATTTTGCGTTTCTATTTCTACGCAATTTCCAGTGTCTTTTTTTTTTGTTCTAGTTGCCCATGAATCTTCTTATCTCTGCATAGACACTCAAGTATTTATGCGAAGGTTATGTTCCACATTATTCAATTCTTAGTTTATGTGTGTAGATCATTTGATTTTTACCAGCAAAAACAAAAATAAAAGGTCATTTGAATTTTTTTGTTCTAGAATTGAATATTATGAATCTCCTGATGACATTTTAAAGTTTTCCCATTTATCCCCGCGATGATTACTTATTTTTAAAATTTATAATTTGTTCTGACAAACTAAATCCTTTGAGATATTGATATAAATATGAATTTTTATGAACGGTATATGCTGTAATTGTTTGCAGCTCCACCTTATGTAAGGTGATTTTTATTCAATGTTTCTGGATTGCATCAACCAATGGACCAAGTCCTTATTTGAATTACAGGTTTCTTGTACTCGTGGATAGCCACATGCATTCCTAAGGGTTCATTGGCCCCCACATTGAAAATTTGAGAACTAATAATGTTAGGCCTACCTACTCTATTATCTTGGCGATTTCGTGACCTGTATCTTGATTCTGGCATAGTGAAAAGACATGCAATTGATTCTGGCATAGTGAAAAGACATGCAATTGTTGTTGTGGATTTCTATAATATGTCAAATTACTTATTGAAATTCTAGAATGATATCAAGCTTGTAAACATAGTTATTAGTATCGTACGATACGTGATATGTATGGTACAATACGTCACGATACACTTGAAAAATGATACGTATCGTGGCTCTGTCTTATTTTTGCACCGTATCGTACGATACAATACGTACGATACGCTACGCCCAATACATACGATATGTGACGATTCTATTTTTTTAATTTTTTGGGATTGAAATGACATCGTTTTACCCTAAGATTTATTTTTAAATCCCTAGTTAGTGAAATAACGTTGTTCCAGTGGTTATAGTTTAAAAAAAATAAATAAAGTTTGCTGTTAATATTGTTCAATTGAATTCAAAATTCATGATTAATAATATTAAGGATATTCAATCAGTTGACGTTAGAAATTTGAATTAGAAGTCTTTGTATTGTGATATTGTTGAATTATATTGGGAACTTGAATAGTTGATGGAATATTAATGAAATACTATGTTATTATGAGCTTATGATTTTTTTACAAAGGTATATACATATATTTTATTAATAATTATTTAAAAATTAAAATTGCGTGTATCTTACGATACACAATACATGATACAATAAGATACACTATTTTTAAACACGATACGCCTTTTGATACACGATTTGATAACTATTCTTGTAAATATTTTAAACAGAAGCACATAAATCTGTTTATGTAATTATTAGTAAAACAATAACATGTACATTTGTAATAAATAAACTAACCAGTTTGTAGATCAGGAATGGATATTGAACTTTTTATATATCACGACTAGTGTTTGACATTGTCCTTGAAGACATATTTAACCCCCAAACTAGTGTTTATAGAAGTCTCAGTGTTTGTCTCATAGTATACAATGATCTTTACACAATTGAAAGCAACACTCTAATTCAATTGTCCAGCGAACCAGAATTGTGTTTTGTACTCTTAGAAATACAAATTCTTAATCACGAAAATGATGAATGTAATTACTGCATTTATTCGTAATGTTGTAAGTATGAAGTTAGTCCGAATGCTAGTGAATATAGGTTATTTATACATAAAATGTTGATTGTTCCGAACAGCCACCATGCGAACTAATGTAACTCTGAATACACAATGCAGCGCAGAAGATACCATTGATGTCTACCTAATCAACAGACATCAATGGTGTAACTGTGAAAGTTAAAAATTTGGATTGAGACATAATTTGGTCTTATTTTTAATTGCTTTGAATTAGTTTGGTAGGATTAGTATCATATGTGTCATTTTTATATTTTTTAGGGTGGGGGGTATTTTTTTAATTTCTAGGATTTTTGGGAAGGGGTATATTATGATTGTGGGTAGTCTTTTGGTTCAAATTCTAGTGATTGATGTTTGTAAAGTTTATAGTCCTAGTTTTAATTTATGTTTGTTTCCTTGTGTAAGTAATTTAGAGTATTTGGAATTCTAATCTTTAAGATTGGGAAATACTTAGAACTATATGTATGACTAGTGATATTTTTAATAAAAAATAAATAAATATTTTCAAAAAATTTCAATAATTATATTCTTTGTAGATTGTGAAATATAATTCAAGCCGTAGGTGTGATGCCTAAGGAACCCTAGCAGTGATTCTTATTATTCAACATTCAACAATAATATTCACAACACTGGTCTTGGTCAAAAAATACTTTTCATGTCACTCTTCAAAACACAAAAAAGTGTTGGTTTTCTATGCATTCGAGAAGATTGTTTCGTGGGAGATTGACAGATGGGCGGCGAGTTAAGATGCCTTTTCGAATTTGGGAACCACTTAGCCCCATGGTGGTGTGATGTCCTATGTGCAAGAAGAAAATTACGGAGGTGATAATATTGGAGAAAATGAGAATCAAGGAATCAACAAGCAGACCATTTAAGAAATCCTTCATAAACACTGGAATTTAGGGCTCCCGAAGGTCATGAATCAACTAAATATCCCATGTTTGATTGGTTGCTATATGAGCCACATGATATTGTTGGAGATATCATGAAAAAAATCAAGATGGCTTTTCCCCATTCTGAAGGATTTTTTTTGATTGGATTTCTGCAATCGAGGAATACTTCGATTGGTATGATTTGACGGATGATCGGAGGATAAGATTTGGCAAAATGAAATTTGTTGGCTTGGCAAAAGTTTGGGGGATTGGAATGGAATGAGATATAAGAAGTTTTTTTTAAGCACATGGCAAGAGATGAAATGAAAGCAAAGATTAGAGAGAAGTATATGCTTGCCAATTATCATAATAAATTATGTGACATGGCCTTGACACAAGTTGTGGCCAAAAAGGATTGTTTCCCCTCTAAAACGTTGTGTACAACACTCAAATCACGTGTCTCGATGATTGAATCACGTCTCGACGGAGTAAAATAAGTGGAATGAATTGCATAGGCACGTCTGGACGATGTTTAGTGCGTCTAGACGCAACAACATTGCGTTAGGCTCCTTTATACGGGCTTCTGGATGGTGCTGGGTGCATTCAGACGGTTCCAGTTCCCTACCGTTCAAGTTCCCTGGGAAATCTTGTTCTTTCTTGGCTTTTTTGCAACAATATATGGGGTGCGTTTAGACAATATAGGTGCGCGTCCGAACGGTCTTGAATCTCTGTGAAACATTATCTTCCTTCAACTTGGAATCTTCCTCCAATTTTTGCTCCGCTTGTATTATTCTATTACCACTTTAAATTACACAAATTACCTACAAAACATGGCAAACAACTAGAACAAGCACCAAGCTAGATAATTAAACAATTCAACACATCCAATTCAAAATAATACTTAATTAACACATCATTAAATATTAGAAAATAACGTTTTTGATAGTTAAATCAATGCTTAAGTAACCCTAAGGATAATTCCTAGTTGTGCCCAGCCAAAATGGAGTGGGTTGTCTGACGGTGATATATTTAAATAATTATTTCTGTCACCATATTTTGAGTTTTTGATATGAACTTTTGGGGTATTTAGAATGATCTAGCCATCAAAGCAAGAAATGCACTCAAATTCTAAGCAAAAATTCAGACATGTTTGAGTTTTGAGTGAAGACTAGTCTCAAACCCCTGAGGCATCCATTGTGAAGGTACATTAGCTTCATACAAAAGACAACGGGGACATCAGAACAATTGGTAAAAGTAGCCTTCAGTTTTTCAGGGCAGACCATAGTTTCAACTTTGTGCCATCACTTGTGACAGTGAGCTAGATAAGTTCTTTGATGTCAAGCCATATGCTAAAGTTGCTTCGAGAACAATATGTAGGGAACATGTTAAAACAACTCACTTTCATGGAATTCCCTGACATGACATTTTCCTTTGTTTAGATACAGAGACTGGTATTTTTTGACTAAATGCATTTTTGCTAGTTGTATCTCTGGGATTTGCTGTCTTCTTTTTCATTTCCTTCCGTAGCTACTTGGTAAGGACACAAAGAATGGGGCAAAATGCTATTTAGAACTTTTTATTTGTCTCCTTACGATAAGTTGGATTTAGCATGGATTAACAATAAAAGAGAATGAATATGACTTAGGTGTCTCTATTTGATCAATAAAAAAAAAAAAATATCTGGCTGAGCCGTTTCATTTGTGCCTTTTTCCCTTTCGTATAGGAGTGCTAGTCAAATTAAAACTGGGGAATCTTGCAGATTTGTTTTTTTGCTTTCCTTGCACATTTACTGTGGTTACTTTTCTGCATTGCAGAAGTAGGTTTCCCCAAAAAGTAATTTTTAGAGTGTTGACTCTAGTTGCTTTGTCTTTAGTGTATTAATTTATTTCATGTTTAATCAAGAAGCTAGTGCAGTCTTGTAATTACTTTGAATTACCAGATTAATGACGTTGAAAGCTTAGATATAATATGCTAGTGAGGCATAATTAGAACTAGTGAGCGATGCTTAACATTAGATGGTTGACCTGAGTGCTGTTTAATTGATTGGTTTATGTTGTATATATGGAGCTTCGGTATATAAGGTAACAATAGTCATATTGGAAGAAATTGATCCATAGCAAATCCTTTTTGTTTTGGAAGCTTGTCAACCTGGAATACAAACAAGTTGCAATGTATTGTGATCTAGCAGCTCTTGACGATGAGGGTGCTTGTTGATGGTGCAGCTGGCCTCATGGTGCAAAGTATCAGCCGATACTGATATGAGTCGGCTGAGTCATATGACTCAGAACTTGTCGAGACAATACCATTACATGATATGTATAAAGGCTGAGTCTCGTAAGACTCGGTTGAGTTGTATCTAAGTCAATTTCAATTAGCCGAGTTATTTTCATCGGATTGACCAATACGGTTTCACGACATTGCGATATGACCTGAATCTCTCGTCGTGTTCAATATTTTTTTTTAGGTCGTATTGCTCGATACTGCGACTTGATATCGTGACCGATGTGTATCAAAGCTCTCTGAGTTGATGACCGATACCGCGACTTTAGGGCCATGGCTAGCCTTCCTGCATCTCACTTCCTTACTAGATAACAAAATGGTCTTGGTTGTTCTTCTTTATTCTCTCTTGTTTGTATCATCAATTATCACCCAATTATTTATTAGTTTGGTGTTCCTTCTTAACCATGGTTCAAAGTCGCAGTATCGACCATCAACTCGGAGAGTTCTGAGACATATCTGTCCTAGCGTCGTGATGCGATATCGAACGATATGACATAAAAGAAAATGTTGAACATGACGAGAAATTCAGGTCATATTGCGGCGTCGTAGAACCATACGACTAATTCGATTACGATATTTCAGTGATTCGGGATTGATTCGGATACAATACCATTACACGACATGTATAAATTTCGAGTCTCGTATGACTCGGCCGAGTTGTATCCTAGTCAATTTCGAGTAGTCGAGGAGTTGTCATTGGATCGGCTGATGCGGTTCCATGACGTTGCGGTATGATCTGAATCTCTCGTTGTGTTCAATATTTTCAGTTAGGTCATATTGCTCGATACTACGACGCGATACCGTGACCGATGTGTATCAAAGCTCTCCGAGCTGATGACCGATACTGTGACTTTGGGGCCATGGCTAGCCTTCCAGCGTCTCACTTCCTTACCAGAGAACAAAATGGTCTTGGTTGTTCTTCTTTATTCTCTCTTGATTTTATCATCTATTATCACCCAATCATTTATCAATTTGGTATTTCTTAACCATGGTTCAAATTCGGGGTATCGGCCATCAATTCTGAGAGCTCTAAGATATCTGTCCCAGCGTCGCGATGCAGTATCGAGAGATACAACGTAAAAGAAAATGTTGAACATGACGAAAAATTCAGGTCATATCGTGGCGTCGTAGAACCATACGACTAATTCGATTATGATATTTCAACGATTCAGGATTGACTTGGATACAAGTCAGACGACTTGGATATAACTCAGAAGACTCGGTCGAGTTGTGCGAGACTTGGGGTTTATACGTATCGTGTAACGATATCGTCCGAAGGTACCGAGACGGATACGACTTGGCCGACTCGTATCGGTATTGGCCAATACATTGAACCATATTCTTAATGCCAGATTTTAAGTTTCCTCTAGTTTTTTTTTTTTTTAAGACAAAATTAGATACTTGAAATTTAGATCATTGATGGCTTCGTAAGAGAAATATGATCTTTTTATGTATGTATCCTGTTCTTATACAAACTTCAATATTTTGATAACTAATGAGTTTATACGGTTATCCAAATCCCAGTCTTTACAACATATTCTACTTTTTCTATTAGCTAGAAATATGTTCTCAATAATAGGGCAAGAGATAGAGGATAATTCAAAGTATCGGCCAACACGAGTCGGTCGAGTCGTATTCGTCTCAGTACTTTCGGAGACGATATGATTACATGATACGTATAAACCCCGAGTTTCGTACAACTCAGCCGAGTTGTATCCGAGTCGTTTGAGTTGTATCCGAGTCAATTTCGAATTGCCGAAATATCGTCACTGAATTGGTCAATATTGTTCTACGACACCACGATATGACATGAAGTTATTGTCATGTTCCACATTTTTTTTTATGCCGTATTGCTTAATACCTCACCGCGACAGATGTGTCTCAGAATTCTCCGAGTTGATGACCCATACCACGACCTTGAATCATGAGAGAGAGAGAGAGAGAGAGAGAGAGAGAGAGAGAGAGATTACAAGTATGTATGAAAGGGATTAATGGGAGGTGGGAATCTTAGTGGGCGAGTGGGAAAGGGAGGCATTAGGAGACCAACCCCTGCTTTCCTACAATATATAGTAATAGATGTGTTGTCTTCTGTAGCTTGCTGCTGGAAGCCTGTTTGTTGCTGGGGCGGGGTTGCGGTTTATCCTACAAAGCACAGATACGGATATAGATACGACAGGAGATGAATAAGATGATCCAGTAAAATGTTAACAATTAGAATACTGAAACTGATATGAATAGGATATGTCTATCTTATTGTGTCTATTTTCTTGATAAAAGTATATCAATAAAATTATTGGATCTTACAGTACTGCTCGGGATACAAGGTAGGAAATAAAATATGTGCCAAGCTAAAATAACATATGTTTTTTGATGGAGGGATTGCAAAAAGGTATGTTAACACAATTGCTGTGTGTAATCCTAAAGCTAAACATGTGCTAGTATCCTTTAATGGTTCTCAACTTACTTAGCATCTAATTGCAATAGACTCCATTGATTTTTGACGTAAGCCACAAACATTGATTATTCAGTTCCATGAATTTATATATTGTTCTCAAAATTTCATTCCAACACTACTCTCCTTGGTGCGTGCATGAATCCACTAAACATATCAGTCAAAACAAATCTCTATGGAAGTTATGTTGGAACTTTGAATCAGCTAATCTTCCTTAAATCTATATATCCACAAAATTATACTTTCAGACTATTGAGCTCAAAGATCAACTAATATATAAGGAGAATGTATCCACAGGTGAGATAAGTTTGTTGTTCAATAGAATGTAAGTGGTGTTATGCTTCATGCTTGAGTCTATTCATGTGTTTTCTTGCAAGTTTGTGCGCTTGTTAGAAAAGAATGTAGAATTATACCTTTTGTCTTCATATTTTTTTGATCCTACTTGTACATAGGAATTTGTAAAACATGATTTATTCAAACATAAAGATGCGGTTATATGGAGCATGAATTGTCATGTAATCCCCTTATTAAGCAGGAAAAAAGACATTTTAATCCTCTTCTTTTCTTTCCTTTTGAGGTCTCTCCTTTCTTCTTTTCTAGGCAGGATTTGAACTCACTACCTACCGCAACCATACCCCCTTCACCTTTACTACATGAGCGAAAGCCCCTTGGATTAAATGGAGTAGCAGTTTGTACTTTTTTTCTCTTATCCTCTGCATCCGACTGTTAAAAATGTCCTACACTTTAGTCTATCTCACATATGAAAGTCATACTTCAGCTTCAGTGTAATGATGTGATTGCTTGATGTGATAGCAGTTTCTTCAGCGGGTGTTCAGCATAGATACCATTGTGAAACCTCTTCCTCCTGCAATTGCATACACTGTCTCTCGAAACTTGAGCTTCTTCACACGAATCTTCACACAGTTCTCTGGTAATTTCAATTTTATTGACTTGTGCTATGATTTGTTTGGGATGAAAAGAATCGAGATATGAAACTGGAAGTCTGATTTTATTTCATTTTCTTTTTTCTGCCTCCGTATTTCTTAAAGCCGCTTGTCCACATGCCATACAAGCGTATGTGGAACGTGACTTTTATGTGGGAATGTAATCAATATTTTCATTTATCGTAGTCCTTTTGTTTTCTCAATTCAAGCATTTTCAAGAAAGACTTAAAATTTAGAGAAAGGGAAACCTAATGATGTATTGGGTGAGAGGTGTGGGGTCTCTAACCCTAGACATCTTAGTGGCTTGATGTTGTTAAGATTACGGCAAAAAAAAAAAAAAAGAGAAACAAAGGAATAGCTAAAAAAAAATGATAAGACAAACATGGGATGGCTTATTTTATATTTCCCTTCTGCCTTACCTCTCTCCCAAAAATAAATACATGTCAAAAAGAGTCGAGCAAGAATTCTAAGTTGTGAGATAGAGTGCTTTAAGGTATGGATTATAACTTTCTACCTTGAAATCTAATCAGTATTACACTATATATTTGTCAGTTACAATCTTCTAACAATCAAAAACGAAAGAAAAAGTTACAATAGTCCTTAGAATTCTCATACTGGCTGAATGATGAAAATTTTCCATACGCTTTGTTTTTTGCAATGCTATTGATATGGTCTTTTGGGCAGATCCTGGAGGTATCTCAAACGCCCAGAAATCTCTTGGATTAGGACAAGAGGAGAAAGTGCGTCGAGTCCGCTGAACAACTTGTAAAAATTGGTAGAGAAAATTTATTACGTCTGTAATGAGCTGTATTTTGTTCGACTTCAGCAGAAAGCTGTTTTACATGTTTTGCATTCTTCAGGATGTTAAATATTTGGACATGTACTGCAATATAATTTCTTGTTGATGTTCAACGCTTTTTAACTGGATATTTGCGATATATATGAAGTTTTAGTATTTAAGAAAAGCCTTTAATTTGTTTTATCAGACAGGTGAACCAAATGTAAAGGTAAACCACCCTTTTGGTTTTGGGGTGGGGCTATTCTCACCTCACAAATATTCATTCTCACCCCATCAAAATTTTTATAATCAAACTACTAACTTTATCATATGGTATACCCACCTCTATTTCAACTATGTCCACCCAATGTTATCCACATTTTTTTAATAACAAGTCTATCTTCTATCTTCTCAAAATTGAGTTTCATTCACTAATTCCTCTTATATACCTTACACGAAAGAGCTTTTTCAATATGAATTTTTCTAGTAAGATATATATTAGTATTACTTTTCGGTTTAACTTTTTGTTTGATTTCATGTGTGTTGGGTGACTTCATGTTTGATTATGTCAAGCTTAATTATCATTTTTTCTTGTTGCAAATGTGTATGAATATATACTTGTGTGTGTGTGTTGATTATTTATAATTGCACATGTACATCACTTTTTGTATCTCTACATTATCCAAGCCTATTCTAATTTCTATCAAAACAACGTCCATTAAATTAACACGAGGAGCAGCAACTTATTTATCAATCCATGTTGAAAAAACTATGTTATGTAGGGTGTATGAGAGAAAATAATGAATGAGACCCTAATTATGAGAAACTAGAAGATGAGCTTGTTATTAATTAAAGGGGTGTGTATAGCATGAGATGAACATAGTTGAATTAGGGTAGATATAGAAGGGATAAACTTAGTAGTTTGATAATAAAAATTTTAATGAGGTGGGAATGGATATTTGTGGGGGTAAGAATAGCTCCACCCTTAGTTTTGTCGAAAAATGAGGTTGAAATAAAAAAATAATATAAGTCGGGGAGGCAAAGCCTTTGATTCAACATTGTTTATTGAATTGTTACTAGAAAAAAATAAAAAATTGACGTCAAATGGTACTTAATTATAATCTTGTTATTCCAAAATCTGTTGCGATCAACATAAATGCTTCAATGGACAAACAATTCTCATGTGATTGTTTGTGAATGGGTTCTAATGCCTTGTTTCAAGACTTCCTTTGACGAATTCTTAAAGTGATACACGCAGAATAATGAATCAATAAAAGCAAACTCTTTTATTAATTCAATTGAATGAGTTTCAATTACAAAGTAATTAATTTAACAGCCTTTGATTGTATCACTAACTACTTCCTAAAAACTAACTCTAGCACTACTCTTAAATGCTCTGATCTTGGGTCTTGGGGGCTTGAGTTGTCATTTGTCTTCTTCCTTTTCCTCTTTTACAGCCACTTCTCTCGATGACTTTTCTAAGGTTATATGACTTCGTAACTCCCAAACAATTATTTTCTCTTTCAAATCAGAGTTGTAGCTAGTTGCTTCCTGCATTTTCTTCAAATCTTGACACGTGACAATCTTTTAACGATTTTAGGCTTGCCAACTATACATGTATCGAACACTTTCATAATTTTATATTTTATGTCCAAACAATGTCCTCTCATTTAATTGAGTTTTATTCTTAATTAACTCAAGTAAATGAGCAGTCATTATTGTTGCCTTCTTTAAACATATATTTAAAAAAATTTTGTAGCTGGACTGTTCATTGAACTTCCCTTGTCTACTTTCTTTCTTGTCTTCAAAAACCTCTAGCGATTTTCCTTTTTTCATCTGGCTGATCCTTAAATGGCTCCCAAGAAGAAAAATCCTTCATCTTTAATTTTCTCTGAGCTTCCTTTCTCACAGAGGTTCTCCCCTGAAATTAAGCAAACTACCAACGAATCTGTAGACCCAAGGGTTTTTATTCCTACCCCTTCTTCAAGTGGGGTTTTCACTCTAGGTCCTTCCTTCAAATCGTCTGTCTACGAGGGGTTTTCTGATTACTATACTATTCACGAAGGCAAAATCCTAATGCTGAACCAATCGCAACTTTCGTGGAAGTCATGGGACTAGGGAACCAACCCACTTCAATCATGGAATGAACCTGACAAGCATTGGGTCAATTGGGTCACCAAGATGGAAGCTCTCTATGCCTCTCAATGGCGAAGATTGAGTAATTTTGGAGTGATTAAACTTTCCACCGAAGACCTGCATATGAACTGATGGCTGATTGGTACTATTGCATGCTTTTGGTCCCGGTCGTGCAACATTATGCTTCTTCCCATAGGCATGATGGCCCCAACGATTTTGGATGTCATCTTTTTAACTAGGTTCCCATCGATAGGTGTAGAGGTGAATGCTTGTTTTTCTACTGATTTTGGTCACACTTTCTTCATTGTCCCTTCGAGCAAAGGGTGTAATGATCCATCAACCATTTATCCGCTTCTCAATCCCCTACTTCATCATTTGCAGAACACACCACTTTTCTTCTTCATTGACTGTATCGATTTTGTGATGCCCCAAAATCCAGGGATCCTTTCTTACCCATTGATCACCTATCAATCCGCGAAAGTACCCGTGTATGCCGTAAAATTCGACATCACGTCATCACATCCCCTTCACCTGGGTCGTTACCCACACAGAGTTTGGGCAGGGTCTCCCTTGTACCAGAGCACTCTCAAATGCATAACCAGTGTACATATCAATTACTTGACCATTTCAAGGTCCAATCCCCATCAATTTACACTTAATATCAAATTAATTACATCCCTTAAGTAAGAAGGCTCAAGACTTGAAGGCTTCGTGAATTATATTCAAAATTTGAAAATTTGGAAGAGGTACCGGTACTTCTTACACGTGGTATCGGTATTTGAGCCTTTTGTTTACTAGGTACTGGTACTTGAGCAATGAGATATCGGTACTTGGACCTTTACTTTCCAAGTTCCTTTCAATTGCTAGGTTCCGGTACCTAGGTAACAACGTACCAGTACCGAAACCCACTGTTTGATAGGTACCGGTATCTTCATGTCGTAGTGTTGGTACCTAAGACCATAGTCCGTAGAGGTACCAGTTCCATAAGCGTTCGTACCGCTACCTGAGCCCACTGGAAATCAAGTACTGGTATTCGTAAGTCAAGGTACCGGTACCTCGCCCATCCAACAGCGTCGTACCGGTACTCAATCACTTAGGTACCGGTACTTAGGCCCAAATTTTTCCCAAACCTTTCCAATCTCCAACCTGTATCCATCCAAACCCATTTCATACTCATTCATATACTCATATACACAAATTCTACTTCATAAGAGTTCATTACATGTCCTCTTAATACAATTTACAACTTCAATTCAAATTACACAATTGTGTTACAAAAATATAATTTAAAGCCACAACTCGGCTTCTTCGTCAACAAGAGCCCAAGATAGGGCCGTCCATCAGTGTTTATCCCGCACCTAAAATATTATTTCCATAAAGGGTGAGTCATGCTAAATAGGATATCTCCTAAATAGGCTACTCCCCAACGTAGATGCACATGAAATGTTCACATGCAATTCAACAATCCTACAAGCATCCATCTAAGAACATGCAATTCATAATGGATTTTACAATGCCAAACCATGTCATGAGATGGTACTCACACATGCAATATAACCCGAGTCCTTCCGGCTCCCATAACATATGTAATGCCACGCGTATGCATATAGCTATCCCAAGCCCTCGTCATTGATGTTGCACATCCAATGATCATTTATAAATCAAAGGTCTTTATTGGGCTGGGTATTTATGAACTTCCACCAACGGATACCCAACCGATATAACATCTATGGACTTCCACCAACGGCTCTGCGCATGACTGCACACTTTATGGATTCAATACCAATAGAGTGTGCATCCAAAATCATCGGGTCTTACACCCAAGAGAGAATTTTGTCCATCTTGCTAACCCCGACCTTTGCTTTCAGTGCAACCCATGAGATTGAGTTAAACCTAGGTCCAACTTTATCGAGCTCATGTATCAACCCACCAAAGATGGTGTTTGATCAAATCATGCACACACACCCACAAATGCGATATTTTCTGTGCATATACAAATGTAATGTACAATTGTAATTTCCAAAGCATGTTCAATATGTCATGAGTATATTATGAACAACTTCAATGTCTGCCAAAAAATCTCAATTGTCAATTACATCATAGGCATATAATCGCAATTCACAATATCACAAAGCATGTTATCTCATTCTCATTCAAATAACATACTTAAATCATTCCTGGGCATTTTATCAAATACCCAAAAGGGACATAATTATTTAAACACATAGCATGCCTAATTTAACATATTCCTTTATGAAATTACAAACAAGCAATTTCAACAAACCTAAATCATGCTAAAATTGATTTTATCCATTCTTATACCATTTACTATACTCTAGTTACACTAGGAGTATATTTAGACAAGATATTTCATCTCTAATTGTGCTACCCATTTCATATACAATCCTAGGTTGAAAATAAACCTAGTTAGGAAAGGAACCATATCTCTTGAAACGTAATACACGTAGTAGAAACTCTAAGAAAACCCAACACAAGCTTTAAAAAGCTTTGTTCTCAACAATCCCGTTCTTTAGATGTTGGTGAAATCTGGATCTTTGGAATGTGCTCGTAGCTCTCGTCATGTAAAACGACTTTGTTTTTGGTCCGAAGCAACTCGACGAATGGGTTTCCCTAGATCAGAAGGAGAAGCTTGGAGAACCCTTGCTTTCTCTCTCTTCTTCTCTCCCTCTCTATCTAGTTGTGTTGGCTGAGAGAATGGGGATGACAAATCGAATTTCCATCCACTTTTATACCTTCCATTTACTTGGCCCTCATTAAGCCACACGTGCCTCTTTTGTTTGGTCAAATTTGATTCCGAATCAATTAAATCTCGTCCCGTGTTAT